TAAGGCGAGTCACGAGTGAGGCAGGACAGGAAGCCGGAGTCACGAGTCACAGGGAGTCGGAAGTGATGTCATGCTGGACAAGAATCAGAGTCCGAATGAATAACATTTTTTCATATTCGGACTCGAGTCCGAATAGTCACTTCGATAAGATAATGTAAAGCTTAGATAACAGTGTCTCTGTACTACTTATCTAGATCTAGATCTAGATACATCTAAACTAAACAATTCACTCTTAATTACTTAATAAGTAGTCTTAAGTCTCAAGTCAACAATGACAATTCAAATTGTTCACAAGAAGCAGTCTACTCTGACTCTCGTCTAGATCTAGGTAGTCTAGGCTCTTTGATCTAAACAAGACAGGCAACACAACAAAACCTACCCATACTCCCAGGCCTAAGAAGTGGTGAAAAACATGGTTGTGGTTTCGACTTATCGTCAGCATCCCCTGCCGAGTTTTCAGTTCTATGAACAGCTGAATGTGTCTCGATAAGTTCGCTCTGCGATAGCTCTGAAGGTCTAGAATTGGTCACTTCAACGCCTGACGCCACTGTCGATGATAACAAGAGATCACCCGGTAAGTCCGCTGTTGGAGATTCTGCGGACGATTCCATAGGTTCGTCCATGACTATGAAGCTCGAAACGATGAAAAGTCACACAAAAATGTCTTGCTCCGCGAGAGAAACAAAAAATACATTCAACAAATCATTGTTTACGTCTGTGATAACTTGCACTTTCTGTTCGTCATCAAATTTCACTGATCCAAGGATGACAACTCGTCCTCTGTATTTTCAACTTGTTCCGGCCAGGATAAGGGATACGGTTTTAAGTGGATTGGATAAAAAAATATATAATTGTAATTCTCTCTCACACATAGACATTAACTCAATTCAGTTAAAGAGAAATAAATTCTGCTGTTGCCATGATGAGGACGTTATTCAACGTCAACAGAAAAACAGACCACGTGAAACGAAAAGTAAAAGTGTATAAGATCTACAAATCTACTTTTTAGTTGAATTATTTTTCAATCGCCTGTACGCCTAGAGCTATATTTCATGAACATGTTTCCTGCACTACCCACCCCCCCCCCCTTCCCCGGCCTTGGGAGACTTCGTTAATTTAGGGGATTGTATGTCGACGTTGTACCATGCACCATAAGTCTCTAGACGAGGAATGAAGTTACTATGACAACTGATTTTTTTTTCCTGCTGTTTTCCACGCTGCAAAGATGTCAAAGAAGCATAGAGCTCCTCATCCCCTTAGAAAAAATAAAGGAAACTCGGCATGCATACGTAGGCCTACGACTCATTGTCCTCGTGTCGTGCAGTATGTAGCTATGTAAATGTGGGGAAATAATAGAGTCTGAAAGACCATTTAAAACGGTACGAAGGCGTTGGCGCGGTTTAAAGACAACTTTTTAATGTTTTACAAAAACGTTTGATGAACCTCAGGGGAAGGATTTAAACTCTCGAAATATTTTGATAAAGTATTCAGTTTTTTGGGGTCATATTATGTCATATATTTTATGGACAACAATATCAGACTGTGCCAGAAACATGGTATTAATTGAACAAAATAAATCGACCCGAAACAGACTTGCTTTTTGTATTTTTGTTCAAAAGTGCCTTGGCCACGGAACTAGATCTAACGTCTAAGACTAAGAGTCATCGAACAGTAGGTCTAGACACATATTGTGGATGATTGGGAAGGATGTTTACTGCAAATGGAAAATGGTGTCTGAGAAAGACAGAGGGGTGACTTCGAAGTGTCTATATATAACAACCTGAAAAAATGTATCATGAGATTTCCAATGATCGTCTATCCACCTGTGGAAAAGATTTGATTTAGCCATTGACAAGAGCAGTTTTTCCGTCTCTGTTTCTTGACCTAACAAAGATCAGGTCGATAACAGCTCTTATAAAATTCTGCCGTAAAATGAAAAACCATTGGTATCCGGTAATCTTGCGGGGCGCCATTGATTCAATTGGTGCAAACGCTCCACCTAACCTTGGCCTTCACCCC